ACACACACACACACACACACACACACACGCACACACACACACACACAAACTCTCACACACACACACAACTCTCACAGAGAAGTGGAGGACACCAAGACAGAGGAAGTACAGCGATCACCAAACAGGCAACAAGGAGGACAGGGAGAACAGAGAAGGTGAGTGACACTGTGACAGTCACCCTGTGATGGAAGACTCGCAAAGTTACGACGCAACGCTTGCACTACAGCAGCTTCCTCCGCAGTGGCGCGTCAACAAGACATTCAAGAATTGATTTCGAATTCGAATTTGTGGCATGTCGCTGCTGCCGGGTCATCAGAGAAAGATGGCTGCCCCTCATGAGAGCATATGGCGCAGGGCCCAAAATTCCCCCGAATGAAATGGGACCACCAGTCCAGGGAGGGCATCAGGGTACACAACTTGGCGCAGTGCCCAGGCCCGTAGGAGTGGCAGTTTGCCTCCCGGATTCCGACTTTCGAAGCTTAGGAGTTTACTTGTTCAAAAAATCTACGCCGCTGCCTCAGTCTTTGTTTCACCGCTTCATCGCACTGGAACAAGCGTGAATCAGATTCACACTGATAAACTTCCCCTCCTCCAACTCCTCCTCGGACTCCTCCCCCGCCATTCCGCCAAGTTCTCCTCCTTTGCCACATCACCGTCTCCAAGCTCCTCGTGCCGGCGACTCCATGGGAAGTTGGGAGTCTCCTCCCTTGCAGGTTGACGCACTTCTGACGTTTGGTAAAAGAAAAAAGGTGGTGACGTCACTGACGTGGCAAAAAAAGACCTGCCACGTCACCATCTCTACCTCCTCTCCTCCCTCACTGTCCTCTCTTCCTGGCTTCTTCTCCTCCTTTATTTCCTCCTTCCTCCTCTCCTTCTTTCTGCATCTGTAGTAACTCGCCTCCATACCCTCCTTGTCCTCCTCCATCCTCTTTGCCGAGGGTGGCACCATCCTCACACCTCTGCCTTTCGTCAACACCAGACTCCACTTCCGCATGCCAACTCCTTCGGCAGAAACTGACTTTTGTTTGGTTAATTGTTTTCCCTTACATAGGTTACATTTCAGAGAGGGAGAGATAATTTTTTTTTCCCCGTTCTTTTTCTCAGTTGCTATCTTCTTAATCAGTTATCTCTGTGTGTGTGTGTGTGTGTGTGTGTGTGTGTGTGTGTGCTGTCTCTTATACACATCTAGATGTGTATAAGAGACAGGTGCTGGGGCTATGTCCCACTAGCCAAGAGGATTGAAATTTGAAAGGCCGAATGTGGACGTTGTTCGTGGAAAAGTGCAGAATATCAGGATGGGACTGCTTTTCTGCATCTACACAGAAAACATGTCCTGCTTCAGGAGGACCTGAATCCAATGCTCGTTGCTACCTTTCTTCCACCGAATACAACGCACGGTCATTATAGCTGTGTATCGAGACTGAAAGGTGTCTCCAATGCAGCTGTAATGACCGTACGTTGTATTCGAGGGACAAAGGGTAGTGGGACTTCGGTCCGGTTACTCTACTCTATGAATGGAAATTGGGAAGCTTCACCTGCTGGAACCCGGGTCATTTTGCTAGGGGGACGAAGTTGGAGGCGGCGCTCAAATCCGGCGACGCGAGCGTATTTAGGGTTTTTTGCTTGCCATCGCGGAGTTCGATCGTAATGCCCCCGGGCGCTTAGCACGGGGAAGGCGAGTTACACAGCTGACGGGCTTGGCTGTGAGTCCGAGCATGGGTCACATGAACTTGTCTCAGGGATGTGGCGTGGTGAGGTGGTGCAGTTAGGGTCAGCGGAGTTTCTCTTCCAAGATACTATCCTGAACTGTTTCGAACAGCTTCCTATGGAACCTGTTTCCCTCCTATCGTGAAGGAAGTGTACGGTCTCTCTCAGAGGGGCGATATGCCGGAGCGACCTAGCCAGGTCTGTTCCTGGTTGGTATGATATGGGGTTGCCCGCTGGTTGGTGGCGGCGGCAGCACTTGAGGAGCTTGCGGCTGGCATGGACTGTAGTCGGGGCACAGCTGTTCGAGCTGGCGGACGTCTGGATGTCTGGAGTTCAACTGTTCAAGGCTTTGTGCTGTTCGAGCTGGCGGACGTCTGGATGTCTGGAGTTCAAGCTGCTTCAGCGAGACGCCTGGAGTTCAAGCTGGTTCAGCGAGCGGACAACGGGGCAGCGAATATGGAGCAGAGAACAGCAGAGCACAGAAAACGGAAGAGAAAAGATGGACACAATGCTGCAGCAGCCTGGAAAACGGAATCTTTACGTGTTGAGAGAGAGAGAGAGAGAGAGAGAGAGAGAGAGAGAGAGAGAGAGAGAGAGCACCCAGAACAGGGTAGGATCGCTGAGACTAGTTCTTTCGTCGCGTAGACCTGTAGAATCTGAGACTGTGTAGACAAGCTAGGAGTGAGTACAAACGTAAAGAGAAAATGTCCAATAAAATTCAGTGAATAAGTCGCCGGGCTTTCTAGGTCATAGCAAACACACACACACACACACACAGAGAGAGAGAGAGAGAGAGAGAGAGAGAGAGAGAGAGAGAGAGAGAGAGAGAGAGAGAGAGAGAGAG